TGTATACAAAATGGTGTCGTCTGCGTAGAGGTGGATCTGAGAGTCACCAGCAGCAAGAGCGACATCATTGATATACACAGAGAATAGAGTCAGCCCGAGAATTGAACCTTGTGGCACCCCCATAGACTGCCAGAGGTCCAGACAACAGGCCCTCCGATTTGACACATTGAACTCTATCTGAGAAGTAGTTGGTGAACCAGGCGAGGCAGTCATTTGAGAAACCAAGGCTATTTAGTCTGCCAATAAGAATGCGGTGATTGACAGAGTCGAAAGCCTTGGCCAGGTCAATGAAGACGGCTGCACAGTACTGTCTTTTTATCGATCGCGGTTATAATATCGTTTAGGACCTTGAGCGTGGCTGAGGTGCACCCATGGCCAGCTCGGAAACCAGATTGCATAGCGGAGAAGGTACGTGGGATTCGAAATGGTCGGTGATCTGTTTGTTAACTTGGCTTTCAAATACTTTCGAAAGGCAGGGCAGGATGGATATAGGTCTGTAACAGTTTGGATCTAGAGTGTCACCCCCTTTGAAGAGGGGGATGACCGCGGCAGCTTTCCAATCTCTGGGGATCTCAGACGATACGAAAGAGAGGTTGAACAGGCTAGTAATAGGGGTTGCGACAATTTCAGCGGCTAATTTTAGAAAGAAAGGGTCCAGATTGTCTAGCCCAGCTGATTTGTAGGGGTCCAGATTTTGCAGGTCTTTCAGAACATCAGCTATCTGAATTTGGGTGAAGGAGAAGCGGGTGGGGTATGGGCAAGTTGCAGCGGAGGGTGCAGAGTTGGTGTCCGGGGTAGTGGTAGCCAGGTGGAAAGCATGGCCAGCTGTAGCAAAATGCTTGTTGAAATTCTCGATTATTGTAGATTTATCGGTGGTGATAGTGTTTCCTAGCCTCAGTGCAGTGGGCAGCTGGGAGGAGGTGCTGTTATTCTCCATGGACTTTACAGTGTCACAAAACATTTTGGAGTTAGTGCTACAGGATGCACATTTCTGTTTGAAAAAGCTAGCCTTTGCTTTCCTAACTGCTTGTGTATATTGTTTCCTGACTTCCCTGAAAAGTTGCATATCGCGGGGGCTGTTCGATGCTAATGCAGTACGCCGCAGGATGTTTTTGTGCTGGTCAAGGGCAGTCAAGTCTGGGGTGAACCAGGGGCTATATCTGTTCTTAGTTCTGAATTTTGTGAATGGTGCATGCTTATTTAAGATGGAGAAGAAAGCACTTTTAAAGAACAACCAGGCATCCTCTACTGACGGAATGAGGTCAATATCCATCCAGGATACCCGGGCCAGGTCGATTAAAAAGGACTGCTCGCTGAAGTGTTTTAGGCAGTGATGAGGGGTGGTCGTTTGACCGCGAACCCATTACGGACGCAGGCAATGAGGCAGTGATCGCTGAGATCCTGGTTGAAGATAGCGGAGGTGTATTTAGAAGGTAAATTAGTCAGGATGATATCTATGAGGGTGCCCATGTTTTAGGATTTAGGGTTGTACCTGGTAGGTTCCTTGATAATTTGTGTGAGATTGAGGGCATCTAGTTTAGATTGTAGGACGGCCGGGGTGTTAAGCATATCCCAGTTTAGGTCACCAAGCAGTACGAACTCAGAGGATAGATGGGGGGCAATCAATTCACATATGGTGTCCAGGGCACAGCTGGGGGCTGAGGGGGGCCTGTAGCAAGCGGCAACAGTGAGAGACTTATTTCTGGAACGGTAGTAGAAGCTCAAACTGTTTGGGCACAGACCTGGATAGTATGATAGAGCTCTGCAGGCTATCTCTACAGTAGATTGCAACTCCGCCCCCTTTGGCAGTTCTATCTAGACGGAAAATTTTGTAGTTGGGGATAGACATTTCTGAATATTTGGTGCCCTTCCTAAGCCAGGATTCAGACACTGCTAGAACATCAGGGTTGGCGGAGTGTGCTAACGCAGTGAATAACTCAAACTTAGGGAGGAGGCTTCTGATGTTAACATGCAAGAAACCAAACAAGTGAAGAAGTCAACAAATGATAGTGCTTGGGGAGTAGGAGTGATACTGGGGACTACAGGGCATGGGTTAACCTCTAGATCCCCAGAGGAACAGAGGAGGACTAGAATAAGGATACAGCTAAAGGCTTTAAGAACTGGTCTTCTAGTGCGCTGGGTACAGAGAATAAAAGGGGCAGATTTCCGGGCGTTGTAGAATAGATTCAGGGCATTATGTACAGACAAGGATATGGAAGGATATGAGTACAGTGGAGGTAAACCTAAGCGTCGGGTAACGATGAAAGAGATCGCATCACTAGAGGCACCGATTGAGCCGGACTCCGCATGTATGGGGGGTGGGACAAAGGAGCTATCTGAGGCAGGTTGAGCGGGACTGGGGGCTCTACAGTGAAATAGTATAATAAGAACTAACCCAAACAGCAATAGGCAAGGCATATTGACATGGGAGAGAGGCATAAAGCCATCACAGGTGTTATTTGAAACCGCTAAGACAACAGCTGATAATGGCGACGAAAGTTTGGACTGAGGCTAAACAGATAAACCGGATGGGGTACCGTGTAAAGGAACAGTCCAGCAGGCATTAGCTGTGTAGCTGAGTGATCATAAGGTCCAGTGAACAGCACTAAGTAAGTCCGCGAGCAGATCGTAGGCTGCTAAAGCACAGGCGAGAAGGAGGCACGGCTGTTGATTGCGCGTGTTAGCGGGCCGGGGCTAGCAGATGGATCCTCATGGTCGTCGCAACGGGAAGCCCGTTGAAACCACATCAGACGATTACGTCGGCAGACCAGTCGTGATGGATCGGCGGGGCTCCGTGTCAACACAAGGATGTGCCGTCTGGTTGACAGAGCGGTAGATAGCCGGGAGATGGGCCTGGCTCGAGGCTAGCGCAAGGCTAACTGGTGCTTGCTTCACTTTAAATGTGTAGCTAAAGCAGTTTTAAATTAATTATTCTGTGTTTTCGTGTTTTATGTACTGTCTTTTTAAGCACATGACCAAATGAATTTCCCCCCTGGTGGGATAACAAAGTTGATCTGAAGGTGGAAGAATGAGTATTTGACAGTCTGTCTTATGTGGTGGTCTAAGGAGAGGGTGGAGTCTAGGATGACACCAAGGTTGCGTGCATGGAGGGAGGGAGAAATAGTGGTGGTGTCATCAATGGTGAGGGTGAGGTTGCCAGCTTTGGTGAAGGTTGATTTGGTGCCTGTGTGGAGGAGTTCCGTTTTATCGCTGTTGAGCTTGAGGAAGTTTTGTTGCGTCCATGTTTTTATTGCAGAGGTGCAGGATTCAATGTGGGTTGAGGAGGGATTTGGTGCGGAGGTAGATCTGGGTGTCATCGGCATAGCAGTGGAAGTCAAGGACTTCTGGTCCCCACAAGGATCGTAAAGCCAAGTGTGAGAGAGAGAGAGAGCGAGAGAGAGAGAGCATTTCTTCCCTCTGAGAGTTGAGTCAGTGAAGATGCAGCTCGACTGAGTGACTGTTTGTCCATATTCAGACTCAGGGGACATATTGAAATGTAACTAGGAGATTGAAATGTAACTAGGAGATTGAAATGTAACTAGGAGATTGAAATGTAACTAGGAGATTGAAATGTAACTAGGAGATGGAAATGTAACTAGGAGATGGAAATGTAACTAGGAGATTGAAATGTAACTAGGAGATGGAAATGTAACTAGGAGATGGAAATGTAACTAGGAGATTGAAATGTAACTAGGAGATGGAAATGTAACTTGGTTTCTATGGTCCCTGCATGTGTCTTGTCTAACTGGCTCTGCCCTCCCAGTGTGTTAACAGTAAACACACAGAGTTTGTGTTTGTCCTCGTTTATCTGGATCCCCATTTGAGCTTCCTGGGGTCCACAAGCAGCACAAAACATGACAAGTAAACAAAACACTGACAGGCAAGAACAGACCAATTTTAAAATACAACAATATATAAACAATACAACAAAATAATGTTGGTGTGTTTGTGTGTCCCCTCACGGTCCGTTCCATGAGATGTTGTTGAATCTGTTTTTAAAGGTCATTTTGCTGTTTGCTGAGTAATTGGAGATGGGAGTTCCATGTGATCATGGCTCTGTATAATACTGTGCGTTGCCTTAATGAACTTGGGGACTGTGAAGAGACCCCTGGTGGCATGTCTTGTGGGGTATGTATGGGTGTCTGAGCTGTATGTTATTTGATTATGCAGAACGTCTGGAATTTTCATCACGGTAATATTTCCAATAAAAACTAGAAGAGAAGCAGTTAGTCTCTCGTCAACCCTCAACCAGGAAGACTGGCATGCATGCTGTTAATGTTTAAATTATTTATTAACTTTTATTTATTCAGGGTAGCTCAATTGAGACCAGGGTCTCATTCCCAATGAGTACAAACATTTTCTCACAAACAGGAAGAACAATTTACATTACAAATAAAACGAGTAAAAATAACCTCAACACCCCAACCCCCCAACCTCAACCCCCCAACCTCAACCCCCCCAACACCCCAACCCCAACACCCCAACCTCAACACCCCAACCTCAACACCCCAACCTCAACACCCCAACCTCAACCCCCCAACCCCAACACCCCAACCTCAACACCACAGTTGCAACAAATAAACCACTACAATGCAGTCCTCAATTAATTAATTAAACACCAGTTCAGTGTGTGCAGTTTAAGGGCAAGGTGTGCTGCTCTGTTTTGAGCCAGCTGCAGCTTTGCTAAGTCTTTCTTTTGCTGCACTTGACCATATTACCGGACAACAGCGTCTGGCAGGAACTAGGTCCTGTTCTACTGGTTCTCCCCCCTTTCTCTCTTCCTCTCACTGTCTCTCTCTTCCTCTCTGTCTCTCTCTCTCTAACTCTCTGTCTCTCTTCCTCTTCCTCTGTCTCTGTCTCTCTAACTCTCTGTCTCTCTCTCCTCCCTCCACCAGGTGAATAAGCCAGGTGTGATGCGGGACCAGATCGGTGTTAGCGGGGGTCAGCTGAAGGTCAAGTACCTGTACGAAGACTCCAACCGCAAGGTCAACACTGTTACCATGACAACGCACAACGGCAACAGCACCGCCGGACAGACCGCCGGTAAACCCGGCCCGGTGACTGGGCTGTCTAAAGAACGCACCGCCGGACAGACCACCGGTAAACCCGTCCCGGTGACTGGGCTGTCTAAAGAACGCAGCGCAGACAGTACGGGCTCCAGTAAGGGGTCGTCAGAGGGCACCGGGCCCTGGGGGAGCAAGCTGCTGGGGCCCCTGACTCCTGAACAGGCCCTCAGACAGTACCGCTCACAACTTACCAACCTGGAGCAGACTGAGATACACTCCTACACAGAGGTACACACACTGGCACACGGATGCACACATTCACACCAGGGCTCTACAGTGTGACCATTGTACTCGTATATGAACCTACAGTATATACAGTGCATTCAGTAACCTGGCTATATGTATAGAGTGCATTCAGTAACCTGGCTATATGTATACAGTGCATTCAGTAACCTGGCTATATGTATACAGTGCATTCAGTAACCTGGCTATATGTATACAGTATGTACAGTGCATTCAGTAACCTGGCTATATGTATACAGTATATACAGTGCATTCAGTAACCTGGCTATATGTATACAGTATGTACAGTGCATTCAGTAACCTGGCTATATGTTTACAGTATATACAGTGCATTCAGTAACCTGGCTATATGTTTACAGTATATACAGTGCATTCAGTAACCTGGCTATATGTTTACAGTGCATTCAGTAACCTGGCTATATGTATACAGTATGTACAGTGCATTCAGTAACCTGGCTATATGTATACAGTATATACAGTGCATTCAGTAACCTGGCTATATGTATACAGTATGTACAGTGCATTCAGTAACCTGGCTATATGTATACAGTGCATTCAGTAACCTGGCTATATGTATACAGTATATACAGTGCATTCAGTAACCTGGCTATATGTATACAGTGCATTCAGTAACCTGGCTATATGTATACAGTGCATTCAGTAACCTGGCTATATGTATACAGTATATACAGTGCATTCAGTAACCTGGCTATATGTATACAGTATATACAGTGCCATTCAGTAACCTGGCTATATGTTTACATATATACTCATTCAGTAACCTGGCTATATGTTTTAACAGTTCATTCAGTAACCTGGCATATGTTTACAGTATATACAGTGCATTCAGTAACCTGGCTATATGTATACAGATATGTACAGTGCATTCAGTAATCTGGCTATATGTTTACAGTATATTCCGTGCATTCAGTAACCTGGCTATATGTTTACAGTAGTAAGTGCATTCAGTAACCTGGCTATATGTATACAGTATATACAGTGCATTCAGTAACCTGGCATATATGTTATACAGTGCATTCAGTAACCTGGCTATATGTATAACAGTATATACAGTGCATTCAGTAACCTGGCTATATGTATACAGTATATACAGTGCATTCAGTAACATGGCTATATGTATACAGTATATACAGTGCATTCAGTAACCTGGCTATATGTTTACAGTATATACAGTGCATTCAGTAACCTGGCTATATGTTTACAGTGCATTCAGTAACCTGGCTATATGTATACATTATGTACAGTGCATGCAGTAACCTGGCTATATGTATACAGTATATACAGTGCATTCAGTAACCTGGCTATATGTTTATAGTATATACAGTGCATTCAGTAACCTGGCTATATGTATACAGTATGTACAGTGCATTCAGTAACCTGGCTATATGTATACAGTATATACAGTGCATTCAGTAACCTGGCTATAGGTATACAGTATGTACAGTGCATTCAGTAACCTGGCTATATGTTTACAGTATATACAGTGCATTCAGTAACCTGGCTATATGTATACAGTATATACAGTGCATTCAGTAACCTGGCTATATGTATACAGTATGTACAGTGCATTCAGTAACCTGGCTATATGTATACAGTATATACAGTGCATTCAGTAACCTGGCTATATGTATACAGTATATACAGTGCATTCAGTAACCTGGCTATATGTATACAGTATATACAGTGCATTCAGTAACCTGGCTATATGTATGCAGTGCATTCAGTAACCTGGCTATATGTATACAGTATATACAGTGCATTCAGTAACCTGGCTATATGTATACAGTGCATTCAGTAACCTGGCTATATGTATACAGTATGTACAGTGCATTCAGTAACCTGGCTATATGTATACAGTGCATTCAGTAACCTGGCTATATGTATACAGTGCATTCAGTAACCTGGCTATATGTATACAGTATATACAGTGCATTCAGTAACCTGGCTATATGTATACAGTGCATTCAGTAACCTGGCTATATGTATACATTATGTACAGTGCATTCAGTAACCTGGCTATATGTATACAGTATGTACAGTGCATTCAGTAACCTGGCTATATGTATACAGTATATACAGTGCATTCAGTAACCTGGCTATATGTATACAGTATATACAGTGCATTCAGTAACCTGGCTATATGTATACAGTATATACAGTGCATTCAGTAACCTGGCTATATGTATACAGTATATACAGTGCATTCAGTAACCTGGCTATATGTATACAGTATATACAGTGCATTCAGTAACCTGGCTATATGTATACAGTATATACAGTGCATTCAGTAACCTGGCTATATGTATACAGTATATACAGTGCATTCAGTAACCTGGCTATATGTATACAGTGCATTCAGTAACCTGGCTATATGTATACAGTATATACAGTGCATTCAGTAACCTGGCTATATGTATACAGTATATACAGTGCATTCAGTAACCTGGCTATACTGTATACAGTATATACCAGTGCATTCAGTATACCTGGCTATATGTATACAGTGCATTCAGTAACCTGGCTATATGTATACAGTATATACAGTGCATTCAGTAACCTGGCTATATGTATACAGTATGTACAGTGCATTCAGTAACCTGGCTATATGTATACAGTGCATTCAGTAACCTGGCTATATGTATACAGTGCATTCAGTAACCTGGCTATATGTATACAGTATATACAGTGCATTCAGTAACCTGGCTATATGTATACAGTGCATTCAGTAACCTGGCTATATGTATACATTATGTACAGTGCATTCAGTAACCTGGCTATATGTATACAGTATGTACAGTGCATTCAGTAACCTGGCTATATGTATACAGTATATACAGTGCATTCAGTAACCTGGCTATATGTATACAGTATATACAGTGCATTCAGTAACCTGGCTATATGTATACAGTATATACAGTGCATTCAGTAACCTGGCTATATGTATACAGTATATACAGTGCATTCAGTAACCTGGCTATATGTATACAGTATATACAGTGCATTCAGTAACCTGGCTATATGTATACAGTATATACAGTGCATTCAGTAACCTGGCTATATGTATACAGTATGTACAGTGCATTCAGTAACCTGGCTATATGTATACAGTATGTACAGTGCATTCAGTAACCTGGCTATATGTATACAGTATGTACAGTGCATTCAGTAACCTGGCTATATGTATACAGTATGTACAGTGCATTCAGTAACCTGGCTATATGTATACAGTGCATTCAGTAACCTGGCTATATGTTTACAGTATATACAGTGCATTCAGTAACCTGGCTATATGTATATAGTATATACAGTGCATTCAGTAACCTGGCTATATGTATACAGTATGTACAGTGCATTCAGTAACCTGGCTATATGTATACAGTGCATTCAGTAACCTGGCTATATGTATATAGTATATACAGTGCATTCAGTAACCTGGCTATATGTATACAGTATGTACAGTGCATTCAGTAACCTGGCTATATGTATACAGTATGTACAGTGCATTCTGAAAGTATTCAGACCCCTTCCCTTTTTCCACATTTCGTTACGTTACAGCCTTATTCTGAAATTGATTAAATAAAACATTTTCCTCATCTATCTATACACAATACCCCATAATGACAAAGTAAAAACAGGTTTTTAGAAATGTTTGCTAATAATAATAATAACATAATTTTAATAATACCTTATTTACATAAGTATTCAGACCCTTTGCTATGAGACTTGAAATTGAGCTCAGGTGCATCCTGTTTCCATTGATCATCCTTCAGATGTTCCTACAACTTGATAAATTCAATTGATTGGACATGATTTGAATACAGTAAAAATGTATGCGCACTTGACTAAGTCGCTTTGGATAAAAGCGTCTGCTAAATGGCATTATTATTATTTATTATTATTATTATTATTATTATTATTATTATTATTATCTGGAAAGGCACACCCCTGTCTAGATAAGGTCCCACAGTTGATAGTGCATATCAGAGCAAAAAAACAAACCTTTACATTTTAGTCATTTAGCAGACGCTCTTATCCAGAGCGACTTACAGTTAGTGAGTGCATACATTTTTCATACTGGCCCCCAGTGGGAATCGAACCCACAACCCTGGCGTTGCAAGCGCCATGCTCTACCAACTGAGCTACAGGGGGCCTATTGAGGCCATTCAAGCCATGAGGTCGAAGGAATTGTCCGTAGAGCTCCGAGACAGGATTGTATTGAGGCACAGATCTGGGGAAGGGTGCCAAAACATTTCTGCAGGATTGAAGGTCCCAAAGAACACAGTGGCCTCCATCATTCTTAAATGGAAGAAGTTTGGAACCACAAACTCTTCCGAGAGCTGGCCGCCCGGCCAAACTGAGCAATCGGGGAGAAGGGCCTTGGTCAGGGAGGTGACCAAGAACCTGATGGTCACTCTGACAGAGCTCCAGAGTTCCTCTGTGGAGATGGGAGAACCTTCCAGAAGGACAACCATCTCTGCAGCACTCCACCAATCAGGCTTTTATGGTAGAGTGGCCAGACGGAAGCCACTCCTCAGTAAAAGGCACATGACAGCCCGCTTGGAGTTTGCCAAAAGGCACCTAAAGACTCTCAGACCATAAGAAACAAGATTCTCTGGTCTGCTGAAACCAAGATTGAACTCTTTGGCCTGAATGCTAAGCATCACGTCTGGAGGAAACCTGGCACTATCCCTACGGTGAAGCATGGTGGTGGCAGCATCATGCTGTGGGGATGTTTTACAGCGGCAGGGACTGGGAGACTAGTCAGGATCGAGGGAAAAATGAACGAAGCAAAGTACAGAGATCATTGAATCTAAACCTGCTCCAGAGCTCTCAGGACCTCAGACTGGGGCGAAGGTTCACCTTCCAACAGGACAACGACCCTAAGCACACAGCCAAGACAACACAGGAGTGGCTTTGGGACAAGTCTCTGAATGTCCTTGAGTGGCCTAGCCAGAGCCCGTACTTGAACCCGATCGAACATCTCTGGAGAGACCTGAAAATATCTGTGCAGCGACGCTCCCCATCCAACATGACAGAGCTTTAGAGGATCTGCAGAGAAGAATGGAGAAACTCCCCAAATACAGGTGTGCCAAGCTTGTAGCGTCATACCCAAAAAGACTTGAGGCTGTAATCGCTGCCAAAGGTGCTTCAACAAAGTACATTTCAGTTTCTTATTTTTTCATACATTTGCAAACATTTCAAAAAAACGTTGTGCTTAGATTGATGAGGGGAAAAAACAGTTTTATCAATTTTAGAATAAGGCTGAAGCGTAACAAAATGTGGAAAAAGTCAAGGGGTCTGAATACTTTCTGAATGTAACCTGTCATCTTTATTTAGGAGCACCTGTGCACCTAGAGAAAAATTATACCAAATGATAATTGTTGCAATGATTACTTCACTGTACCCCTGAGTGCCATGGAGAATATACTGACCGCATATTCATGACCGTCACGAACGTCTTTTTACCTCAAATATTTTTCATTGTGGTCCTAAATTTCGCAACTTAGGCGCATGCGTGCTCCCTGTAAAGAAAGGTCAGCGTAGAGACCTGCGGACGCACAGTGGTTCACGTCAGCTGTTTGTTCACCCGCACGCAATTGCTAACAACCCATATGTGATAAAGTGAAAATCTGAGGCCTGCAACCGACCCTGACCCGCTAATATAGAAATTGTAGGTTTCAGTCAGAGACGGCGGAATGATATTTTCTACGGGGGATGCAGGATATTTTTTTGCCTGATTTTAGATGTACTACATGGCAAAATGTATGTGGACACCTGCTCGTCAAACATCTCATTCCAAAATCATGGTCATTAATATGGAGTTGGTCCCCCTTTGCTGCTATAACAGCCTCCACTCTTCTGGGAAGGTTTTCCACTAGATGTTGGAACATTGCTGCGGGGACTTGCTTCCATTCAGCCACAAGAGCATTAGTGAGATCGGGTAATGATGTTGGGGGATTAGGCCTGGCTCGCAGTCGGCGTTCCAATTCATCCCAAAGGTGTTCGATGGGGTTGAGGTTCGGGCTCTGTGCAGGACAGTCAAGTTCTTCCACACCGATCTCGACAAACCATTTCTGTATGGACCTCGCTTTGTGCACGGGGGCATTGTCATGCTGAAACAGGAAAGGGCCTTCCCCAAACTGTTGCCACCAAGTTGGAAGCACAGAATCGTCTAGAATGTAATTGTATGCTGTAGCATTAAGATTTCCCTTCATTGGAACTAAGGGGCCTAGCCCGAACCATGAAAAACAGCCATTATTCCTCCTCCACCAAACTTTATAGTTGGTACTATGCATTGGGGCAGATAGCATCCGCCAAACCCAGATTCGTCCGTCACACTGCCAGATGGTCGAGCGTGATTCATCACTCCAGAGAACGTGTTTCCACTGCTCCAGAGTCCAAAGGTGGCGAGCTTTACACCACTCCAGCTGACGCTTGGCATTGCGCATTGTGATTTTAGGCTCGTGTGCTCTATGCAGCTGGGACCAAAAATAGTCACCAAGAAAACAATTGGTAACACACTACGCCGTGAAGGACTGAAATCCTGCAGCGCCCGCAAGGTCCCCCTGCTCAAGAAAGCACATATACAGGGCCGTCTGAAGTTTGCCAATGAACATCTGAATGATTCAGAGGAGAACTGGGTGAAAGTGTTGTGGTCAGATGAGACCAAAATCGAGCTCTTTGGCATCAACTCAACTCGCCGTGTTTGGAGGAGGAGGAATGCTGCCTATGACCTCAAGAACACCATCCCCACCGTCAAACATGGAGGTGGAAACATTATGCTTTGGGGGTGTTTTTCTGCTAACGGGACAGGACAACTTCACCGCATCAAAGGGACGATGGACGGGGCCATATACCGTCAAATCTTGGGTGAGAACCTCCTTCCTTCAGCCAGGGCATTGAACATGGGTCGTGGATGGGTATTCCAGCATGACAATGACCCAAAACACACGGCCAAGGCAACAAAGGAGTGGCTCAAGAAGAAGCACATTATGGTCCTGGAGTGGCCTAGCAAGTCTCCAGACCTTAATCCCATAGAAAATCTGTGGAGGGAGCTGAAGGTTCGAGTTTCCAAACGTCAGCCTCGAAACCTTAATGACTTGGAGAAGATCTGCAAAGAGGAGTGGAACAAAATCCCTCCTGAGATGTGTGCAAACCTGGTGGCCAACTACAAGAAACATCTGACCTCTGTGATTGCCAACAAGGGTTTTGCCACCAAGTACTAAGTCATGTTTTGCAGAGGGGTCTAATAATTATTTCCCTCATTAAAATGCAAATCAATTTATAACATTTTTGACATGCGTTTTTCTGGATTTTTTTGTTGTTATTCTGTCTCTCACTGTTCAAATAAACCTACAATTAAAATTATAGACTGATAATGTCTTTGTCAGTGGGCAAACGTACAAAATCAGCAGGGGATCAAATACCTTTTTCTCCTCACTGTATGTTATAGGTAGATAAGTGATAATGCTCGGATCAATCATGTTATTATCAAGTCAATTTTATGCATATCAACCATGTCCACTGATTTTGACCTATGACCCCTCAAATGCTGATACTGCACTCTGCCTTTTGTATGACCTTAAACAACTATCTGGGTAATGCAAAGGCAAAGTGCAGTATCAGCATTTGAGGGGTCTTAGGTCAAAGTGCAGTATCTACAATCTAAATGTGTTTATCCAGTTTTTCTGTTTTGAGAGTTTTAACTATGTTCCAACTGTATTTAATAATAATAATAATAATAATAATAATATGCCACTTAGCAGACGCTTTTATCCAAAGCGACTTACAGTCATGTAATGTAATGTAGTTATGTCTTCATGTTTTGAATGTTGTATTGTATTAACCCTCAAGCATTTTTTCACTTTAAGGTAAGGACTATTTCATCACGAAGAATGTTTTATACTTCAAGAAAATATTTGACCTTGTGCTACAATCTAAATGTGTTTATCCAACTTTCTTGTTGTTTTTCTGTTTGACTTTTTTTTTTTGTCAAATCAGTGGTCATGGTTTATGCATAAGAAATTACTTCATAATTAGATGATACATCAGAGCATTATCACTTATCTACCTACAACATAGTTGGCTGGACAGCAAATCAACTTTTCTCAGTTTCATTGTTGTCGTAGTTACTGCTCTTGGCCTTTATGGCAGAGAGGGTGACTTTATTTAAAAAAACAGTGCAGTAAGGCCTTTTTCTCTGAAATTTAAAATAATTGAAACAGGATACTTTGTCACAAGATAAAACAGACACTACAAAGCCTGATTTCAGTCTTAACTCAATTTTGGCCAAATGTGTAGTAATTATTTAATTTTGCTTTTGTACGGCAGAGTAGGCTACAGTTCCCTTGACGTGCCATAGGCCTATTTGGAGTCCCCGTCTTGTGACTGTCGGAGTTGTATAGCGCCTCACAATCATCACACATAACATAAAAAATCACCCTGATTTAATTATTTTGTCATATCCCTGCTTATGGCCCTGCCTACACCTAGTGACTTGTTTTTTAAATTACAGTGCCTTGCAAAAGTATTCATCCCCCTTGGTGTTTTTCCTATTTTGTTGCATTACAACCTGTAATTTTTAATTGATTTTTATTCGGATTTCATGTAATGGACATACACAAAATAGTCAAATTGGTGAAGTGAAATGAAAAACTTTTTAACAAAAATTCTAAAAAATAAATCACGGAAAAGTGGTGCGTGCATATGTATTCACCCCCTTTGCTATGAAGTCCCTAAATAAGATCTGGTGCAACCAATTACCTTCAGAAGTTACATAATTAGTTAAATAAAGTCCACCTTCACAATAAAAAATATTTTGCATCTTCAAAGTGGCATGTTGTGTAAATGAAATGATACAAACTCCCCAAAAATCCATTTTAATTCCAGGTTGTAAGGCAACAAAATTGTAAAAATGCCAAGGGGGGTGAATACTTTCGCAAGCCACTGTATATGAGCAAAACATTTTACATTTTATTTGGAACGGCAAGCCAGACAAAATTAAACGGGCCTATTTATATAATGAATATTAATTCGGAGGGCAGAAATGATTAAATATTAAAGCATTAGACCTCGCACTAAAGGTTTAAATCATACAAAAGCCATACTGAAATCCGAACTGGTTCTCTAGCAAATTAGTAAGAATGGCTCACCCCGTGTTCCAGAATGGCCTTTTCCCCTTTATTCAGATTACAACCTCTCGCTTACGGTTATTTTAAAATGATATAATCTCCAAAATATCACTATTTTTAAAACAAGCCATAGAAAGTTGGTTGTAATTTCTGTTTAATCCACCAGAAAAGACAGAACAAATATTATGGTTACACTCAAATATACTAATTGATAAAAAATACTTTTTAATTTTATATTTTTTAAACTGTATAATCTTTGTAAATGAGATCATAAATAGGACTGGTGGAGTTATGTCACACATGCAGCTAACAAAAATATATGGAAATGTCTGCTCTATCCAAAATTACAACCAACTAATTGCAGCATTACCACAAAAATGGAAGAGGCAAGTGGAAGGGGGAGAAAGTAAGGAACTTGTCTGTCGGCCCTGCATTAAAGACCAAAATTGTTTAAGGAAAATTGTGATAAATAAAAAAGTATACCAGTTTCATTTAAGGACCAAAACATTTACAGCTGTGCTGTACAGATTGCAAAATAGTTGGGAAGAGATTTTCGATGTACCGATTCCATGGCACATGGTTTATGAACTGATACACAAAACCACGCTGGATTTACAACTTAGTTTTTCAATTTAAATTATTATACAAAATTCTTGCAACCAATAGAATGTTATTTAAATGGGGGATACAATCTTCCCAGCTCTGCAGATTTTGCTGCGAAGAGACAGAATCCTTAGATCATTTTGTTTTGGTACTGTCCATATGTAGCTTGTTTTTGGTTGCAGGTTCAGGGATGGCTGAAGATTTGCAACATTTACCTACAGCTAACTCTGCAAATAGCACTGCTGGGTGATTTTGAAAAGTCAGTCAATCGATCAATAATATAATAATACTCTTAGCAAAAATGTTTATCTTTAATTTACAGTCTGTAGAAACCATGAGATGGAAAGGTTCAGAACTTTTGTGAAACATCACAGTTGAAAAATATATGGCAAATAGAAATCAAAACTGGATGGTCTTCAGAGATAGATGGGAGGGGTTGAATGGAGCTGAAGGGTGGGACTAAAAAGAAACAAAATACCTATTGTCAAATATACTGTGTCCGTAAAATGTATATAGTATGTATAAGCTGGAAGTAGAAGCCTAAGTATTGTTGTCCATTAGTTTACTCCAATTAGGGGAGGGGTGGTAGGGTTAGTGGAAATATATTTTAAAAAAAATATATATATATATATATATATATATATATATATATATATATTTTTTTTTTTAAATATGGGGTATTGGAAATGATGCAGACAATTGCATTGATAGAAGCCACAATCTATCTGCAATATTGAAGCTGATCTACCCCCTAAAAAACACACACACACTGACACACATTGAGACGCGCATGCACACACAGACAGACACGCACGCATGCGCACACACACATTGACAAACACACTGAGACACACACACACACACACACACACACACACACACACACACACACACACACACACACACACACACACACACAAAGGTGTTTTGTTAAAAGTGTTACATTATGACATTCTGTGATTCATTTGTTAATAATATTATCATTCCACCAGGTGTATTTCCTGGGTCCCAACGCTAAGAAGCGTCCTGCAGTTGTTGGGGGAAACAACAATGGGGGTTTTGATGACGAGCAGGGGGGGTACATCCACGTACCCCACGATCACCTGGCCTTCAGATACGAGTTCCTCAAAGTCATCGGCAAGGGCAGCTTCGGACAGGTAACACTTTAACCTCTGACCCTGTACCCGGTTATTTTCTCTTATAGTTTCCTTCCAGAAGGATCGTCTCTGCTAAGTGATAATAGTTAGTTCCACAAAACATTTTAAGGCAAATTTCTCCCTGAAATTAAGTGAAACGTTTTTGTTTTTTTATTATTTGACCTTTATCTAACTAGACAAGTCAGTTAAGAACAAATTCTTATTTACAATGACGGCCTACACCGGCCAAACCCGGACGACGCTGGGCCAATTGTGCACCGCCCTATGTATTTAACTAGGCAAGTCAGTTAAGAACAAATTGTTATTTACAATGACGGCCTACCAAGAGGCAAAAGGCCCATGAAGTCCCTTAACTGCTTCATTCAGTATGGATATCAATGTAAACTGGCTAGTTAGCTATAGCTACTCTGTAAGCTAGCTGGCTAGTTAGCTATAGCTACACTGTAAGTTAGCTGGCTAGTTAGCTATAGCTACTCTGTAAGTTAGCTGGCTAGTTAGCTATAGCTACTCTGTAAGTTAGCTGGCTAGTTAGCTATAGCTACTCTGTAAGCTAGCTGGCTAGTTAGCTATAGCTACTCTGTAAGCTAGCTGGCTAGTTAGCTATAGCTACTCTGTAAGCTAGCTGGCTAGTTAGCTATAGCTACTCTGTAAGCTAGCTGGCTAGTTAGCTATAGCTACTCTGTAAGCTAGCTGGCTAGTTAGCTATAGCTACTCTGTAAGCTAGCTAGCTAGTTAGCTATAGCTACTCTGTAAGCTAGCTGGCTAGTTAGCTATAGCTACTCTGTAAGCTAGCTGGCTAGTTAGCTATAGCTACTCTGTAAGCTAGCTGGCTAGTTAGCTATAGCTACTCTGTAAGCTAGCTGGCTAGTTAGCTATAGCTACTCTGTAAGTTAGCTTGACGTACTAGAAACAAGTTGAGAAAAAAGTAACTACAAGAAGTGTTTTATCTCTGAATCAATTTGTTTCTCCTGTCTTGAATGTAGAAGTTCTATTTTGTGATCTCCCAAAATAAAGGCAATTTCTTTGAGGAGACTTTGTCAGGGAACCAGGTCGTCTCCATGGTAACCAGAGACTCTTTCTGCCCTACTTGCCTTCAAACTACCATAAAACCTTTAAATGATGCCCTTACCTAGGGAAATGTTTGCAACACCCTTAAACAATTCCCTTAAAGTAGGGGTGTCAAACTCATTCATGGAGGGCCTAGTGTCTGCTGGTTTTAGTTTTTTCCTTTCAATAAAGACCTGGACAACCAGGTGAGGGGAGTTCCTTACTATGACCTGGACAACCAGGTGAGGGGAGTTCCTTACTAAGACCTGGACAACCAGGTGAGGGGAGTTCCTTACTAAGACCTGGACAACCAGGTGAGGGGAGTTCCTTACTAAGACCTAGACAACCAGGTGAGGGGAGTTCCTTACTAAGACCTGGACAACCAGGTGAGGGGAGTTCCTTACTAAGACCTAGACAACCAGGTGTGGGGAGTTCCTTACTAAGACCTGGACAACCAGGTGAGGGGAGTTCCTTACTAAGACCTGGACAACCAGGTGAGGGGAGTTCCTTACTAAGACCTGGACAACCAGGTGAGGGGAGTTCCTTACTAAGACCTGGACAACCAGGTGAGGGGAGTTCCTTACTAAGACCTAGACAACCAGGTGAGGGGAGTTCCTTACTAAGACCTAGACAACCAGGTGTGGGGAGTTCCTTACTAAGACCTAGACAACCAGGTGAGGGGAGTTCCTTACTAAGACCTGGACAACCAGGTGAGGGGAGTTCCTTACTAAGACCTGGACAACCAGGTGACGGGAGTTCCTTACTGATCAGTGATCTCCCTGGAATGAGTTTGACACATGTGCCTTAAGTGAAACACTTATGTTTTATGCAACCTGACCCTTAACCTTAACCCATGACCCTTAACTCATGACCCGTAACCCTTCCCCTGACCCTAACCATAGTCCCCTCAAGGTGCTACAATAGTAGTACAATAACCTATTGGTTGGTTTTTGATTGATTAACTGATTGATGTATTGATGGGATAACTGACATATTGACCAAAAATATTGATCTGATGACCAGGTGGCGAAGGTGTACGACCACAAGCTGCAGCAGCACCTGGCGCTGAAGATGGTCCGTAACGAGAAGCGCTTCCACCGCCAGGCCCAGGAAGAGATACGTATCCTGGAACACCTCCGCAAGCAGGACCGCTCCGGAACCATGAACGCCGTCCACATGCTGGAACACTTCACCTTCAGGAACCACATCTGCATGACCTTTGAACTGCTCAGCATGAACCTCTATGAGCTGATCAAGAGGAATAAGTTCCAGGGCTTCAGTCTACCGCTGGTCAGGAAGTTTGCCCACAGCATCCTGCAGTGTCTGGAGGCATTGAACCGACACCGGATCATCCACTGTGACCTGAAGCCGGAGAACATACTGCTGAAACAGCAGGGACGTAGTGGCATCAAGGTGATGCAGCAGGAGTACACACACACACACACACACACACACACACACACACACACACACACACACAGGAACACACACACACACACAGGAACACACACACACACAGGAACACACACACACAGGAACACACACACAGGAACACACACACACAGGAACACACACACACAGGGACACACACACAGGACACACACACACACACACACACACAGACACACACACACAGGATTCGCTCTCTCTCTCTCTCTCTCTCTCTCTCTCTCTCTCTCTCCCTCTCTCTCTCTCTCTCCGTCTCTCTCTCCATCTCTCTCTCCCTCTGTCTCTCTCTCTCCCTCTGTCTCTCTCTCTCTCTCCCTCTCTCTCTCTCCCTCTGTCTCTCTCCTTCCCCCTGTCTCGCTCGCTCCCTCTCTCTGTCTCGCTCCCTCCCTCTGTCTCGCTCGCTCCCTCTGTCTCGCTCGCTCCCTCTGTCTCGCTCGCTCCCTCTGTCTCGCTCGCTCCCTCTGTCTCGCTCGCTCCCTCTGTCTCGCTCGCTCCCTCTGTCTCTCTCTGTCTCGCTCCCTCCCTCTCTCTCTGTCTCGCTCCCTCCCTCTGTCTCGCTCCCTCCCTCTGTCTCGCTCCCTCCCTCTGTCTCGCTCCCTCCCTCTGTCTCGCTCCCTCCCTCTGTCTCGCTCCCTCCCTCTCTCTCTCTCCCTCTCTCTCGCTCTCTCTGTCTCTCGCTCTCTCGCGGCCTCTCTCTCCATCCAGGTGATAGACTTTGGTTTGTCATGTTTCCATCACCAGATCCCTAACACCCTCTCTCTCTCTCTCTCTCTCTATCCAGGTGATAGACTTTGGTTCGTCATGTTTCCATCACCAGCGTGTCTACACTTACATCCAGTCCCGTTTCTACCGTGCCCCTGAGGTCATCCTGGGGTCACGCTACGGTCTCCCCATTGACATGTGGTCATTTGGCTGCATCCTGGCGGAGCTGCTGACAGGGTACCCCCTGTTCCCGGGGGAGGACGAGGGGGATCAGCTGGCCTGTGTCATGGAGCTGCTGGGAATGCCTCCCACCAAGCTGCTGGAGCAGGCCAAGAGGGCCAAGAACTTTATCTCCTCCAAGGGCCACCCACGCTACTGCGGGGCCAACACCTTGCCCAGTGGGGCCACGGTGTTCACAGGCTCCCGCTCACGCAGGGGGAAGCTCCGGGGTCCCCCGGCCAGTAAGGAGTGGAGCGCTGCCCTGAAGGGATGTGAAGACCTCACCTTTACAGACTTTATTAAGAGGTGTTTAGACTGGGACCCTTCCAGCAGACTGACCCCCAGCCAGGCCCTCAGACACCCCTGGCTGTACCGACGCCTGCCCAAGCCCCTGGCCCCCGCCGCAGGGGAGAAGAGAGGAGCGACAGAACACCACTCTACCTCCTTCCCATCCATCCTGCCGGCTAAAGGAGGGAGCGGCAACAAACTGAGAGGCATGATGGGAGACTCCGCAGGGTCTGTACCCCTCCGCACTGTGCTGCCCAAACTAGTCTCCTAGACAGACGGGAGACCGACAGAACAACAGGAGGTTTTAAATTAGTTGGGTTGTTGTTTTCCCTTTTTGGTTTCTTGTTTTTTAAATAATTTTTAATGTGTGGACACTCCAGCTGATATCTGAAGGTGAATGGGAGACATAGGATGTAAAGGTTTTTCTACAGCAGGTTGCTGACTGAGTGATTAGACACCCTCCGAGGTCCAGAGTTTAGTCGCAGGGTCCTACAGCAGGTTGCTGACTGAGTGATTAGACACCCTCCGAGGTCCAGAGTTTAGTCGCAGGGCCCTAGACATCGTGCTATTCTATCCTAACAACATTTCTGCACACACGGCCAGGATCAGCTGTTTTTAATTCTCCAGTGTCTTACGCTGTACTGCAGGTTTCCCAAACTCAGTCCCGCCCCCCCCCCCCCCCCCCCGCCCCCCTTGGGTGCACCTTTTGGTTTTTGCCCTAGCACTACACAGCTCATTCAAATAATCAAAGCTTGATGATGAGTTGGTTATTTGAATCAGCTGTGTGATGCTAGGACAACAACCAAAACACACACACATCCCCACACACACACACACACACCCACACACACACACACACACACACACACACACACACACACATATACACGGTATACACACACACACATATACACGGTATACACACCCACACCCACCCACACATATTCACGGTATACACACACACACACACACCCACACAGATACACTGTATACACACACACACACACACACACACACACACACACACACACACACACACACACACACACACACACCCATGGGTCTGCCCTTGTTTGGGTGGTGTAGTAGACACCCACGGGTCTGCCCTGTTTGGGTGGTGTAGTAGGTATGTGTGTATTTAGTCTGCCCTGTTTGGGTGGTGTAGTAGACACCCATGGGTCTGCCCTTGTTGGGTGGTGTAGTAGACCCCCACGGGTCTGCCCTGTTTGGGTGGTGTAGTAGACACCCATGGGTCTGCCCTTGTTTGGGTGGTGTAGTAGACACCCACGGGTCTGCCCTGTTTGGGTGGTGTAGTAGGCACCCATGGGTCTGCCCTGTTTGGGTGGTGTAGTAGACACCCACGGGTCTGCCCTGTTTGGGTGGTGTAGTAGACACCACGGGTCTGCCCTGTTTGGGTGGTGTAGTAGGTATGTGTGTATTTAAGGGCTAAAGGAGGTCTGTTCGATCATGTGGCCACAACCAGCTTTTATAAAATCAATGAATCCTGCTGATGTTACAGGGCCCCTGGGAAGAGACACACAGATCACCTCTGCACAGATAAATAGTTTTTTTTTATCACAGATCACCTCTGCACAGATAGTTTTTTTAAATCACAGATCACCTCATTAGATCATTGGGCTGAGCCAGAGACTGAGCCAGAGACTGAGCCAGAGACTGAGCCATCTGTCAAGATAAATCACAATGTTTGTTGATTTAAATCGGTGTTTATCTCTCTCTCTTTATCGATCCCTAATCCGTGTGTGTTGTCAGTGAGGGAGGAAGAGGGGGAGAGAGGGAGGGATTGAGAGAGAGAGGGAGGGAGGGAGAGATGGGAGGGGAGAGGGGGAGGGGGGAAGCAAGAGGGGGGAGGGAGGGATGGAGAGAAAGAGGGGGAGGGAGAGAGAGAAAGAGGGGGAGGGAGAAGAGGGTGGAGGAGGGTGGAGTGAGTGTTTGGAATTTACATGTTTGGACGTGCGCAGGAAAGAAGTAGCATATGCCACACCTCCCTGTCACTCAGCGGTCGCTATGGAGACTGCCATGGTTGCCATGGTGTTGTCAAGGAGGGGCAGTAGGAGAGGTTGAAGGGGACAGAAGAAGAGTGACGACATACTCTCTGTCAGCTCCAGGGCTTTAGTATCGAGGTGAAGCATTCAGAACGTTGCAGATAGAAATGGAATAACTAGAGCTGGAACGATTCCCTGTTCTACATGACAGACCTTCATGTTTGTTCTACACAATACATTTCTAGATCCTGACATGGTGGAGGCTGATAATAGACTGAATTGTTCTCTCTCTCTCTCTCTCTCTCTCTCTCTCTCTCTCTCTCTCTCTCCTCTCTCTCTCTCTCTCTCTCTCTGTCTCTCTGTCTCTCTGTCTCTCTCTCTGTCTCTCTCCCTCTCCTCTGTCTCTCCTCTCTCGCCTCCCTCCCCCTCTCATCTCCTTCCTCTCTCTCAATTCAAGGGGCTTTATTGGCATGGGAACAGTGTACATTGCCAAAGCAAGTGAGAAACAAACGAAACATCAACAGTAAACTATTAGAATTTAACAGTAAACATTGCACTCAAAAAGGTTTAAAAAAAAGAAATATTTCAAGTGTTATATTATCAGCTGTGTAGAAATAGTCAATGTTTGATTTGTTTTCAAATTCTTTGTGGGTCTGTGTGAAATATGTATCTCTAATGTGGTCCTACATTTGGCAGGAGGTAAAGTGCAGCTCAGTCTCTCTCTCACTCTCAGGGCTCTGGCAGACGGAGATCACTAACACTGCTGATTCTCTTAAACACACACGCCGTGTTAATGGTGCTGTCACTATACACAGGGGACGTGTATGTAGCAGATGCATGTTGAATGGACCAGAGGTTATAGTTCAGGGTTCAACCTCCTTCTTTTTCCCCTTCACCCAAGGACACTGTCAGGGTTTTACTCTTCCTGTATTTCTTCCTTTATAGAAATGGGTTTTTATAGCTTTTTGCTACACAAGACGAGAGGTTTTAAGGCGTAAGTGACAGTGACGATGTGTATAACGGTGGCGACGTGTATAACGTAATGGTGGTGACGTGTGTTGTAGGGGGCTGTTTGTTTCAGCATGACGGAATCACATGGAACTGTTTCAACACTGAGATGAAGACAAACTGTTAAACCAACGAGCTGCAATAATAAAAATATTAACTGAACGGTCATGTTCTTCACATTTCTTTCCTTGTGTTTTCAGACACCACATTCCCTCTCCCTAGCAGTGTGTGTGTGTGTGTGTGTGTGTGTGTGTATGGTGAGTTGGGTGGGCAACTGACCCTCACAGCCCCTCCTTTCTAGAGCAGCTGCTCTGCCCATGTGGGCCGGACTCAGCTGTGTGTCTTGACATCCTGTTGAGTCTCCATATGGTCGGTAGGATAAAGCTTATTGGACTTATTGAACACGGACATGTCTTACTAACAACCAGCTTGTAGAACATTAGTCTTAACTACCAACCAGCTTGTAGAACATTAGTCTTAACTACCAACCAGCTTGTAGAACATTAGTCTTAACTACCAACCAGCTTGTAGAACATTAGTCTTAACTACCAACCAGCTTGTAGAACATTAGTCTTAACTACCAACCAGCTTGTAGAACATTAGTCTTAACTACCAACCAGCTTGTAGAACATTAGTCTTAATACCAACCAGCTGTAGAACATTCAGTCTTAACTAACAACCAGCGTGTATAACAGTAGTCTGAACTACCCAACCAGGCTTGTGTAGAACATTAGTCTTAAACTACCCAAACCAGCTGTAGAACATTCGTCTTAACTACCAACCGCGTGTAGAACAGTAGTCTTAACTACCAACCAGCTTGCTAGAACATAAGGTCTTAACTACCACCGTTGTAGAAAAGTAGTCTAACTACCAACCAGCTGTAGAAAATCAGTCTTAACTACCAACCAGCTTGTAGAAACATCAGTTTAACTACCAACACTTGGTAGAATTTAGTATTAAATACAACCGCTTGTTAGAACAATTATCTTTAACTACCAACCAGCTGCTGAGCATTAGTCTAACTACCAACACTTGCTAAACTCAGTCTGTAACTACCACCAGCTGTAGAACATTAGTCTTAACTACCAACAGCTTGACACATCTAATACCAACCAGCTGTAGAACATATCTAATACAAACCACTTAGAACATCAGTTCGTAACATACCACCCTTTGTAACATAGTCTAATACAACGCTGTAGAAACATTAGTGTGCTTAAATACCAACCAGCTTGTAGAACATCAGTCTTACTACCAACCACTTTGTAGAATATTAGTCTTAACTACCATCCAGCTTGTAGAACATTAGTCTTAACTACCAACCAGCTTGTAGAACATCAGTCTTAACTACCAACCACTTTGTAGAACATCAGTCTTAACTACCAAACAGCTTGTAGAACATTAGTCTTAACTACCAACCACTTTGTAGAACATCACAGTGGTCAGAGTTGGGCTGTTATGGTGACCGTATTACCGCCACACCGGCGGTCACAAGTCATGACCGCAGTCAAATTCCACGTGACCGTTTAGTCACGGTAACTAGGCTTCTCCAAGCTCTGATGCTGCTGATGGTCATTAGTAGCCTACCAAACCTGCTAACTGCCTGGTACTCAGCACTCTATTGTCCCTCTAATCACTCTGACATCAATGCAAATGTAATGGAAAATCTAATCAAACACTTCATCAGAGCTCATGTTGCGCAACATTTCTATAGGCTATGAAATTGCTCGAGAAAACATAGTGATGGCCTCTATTAAAAAGAGGAGGATCCCATCAGCTTTCTATAGGCTAGGCCTACTATATTTATTTCTCAACTTTCCTAATATTAAGCACATGGCTTCTCTTTACAACAGGAGTATAGCCTACCTGGCTGGCATGAAAATGAACCACGGGGAAAAGCGTCCTCCATTCGCTATTTAAGTGCATAGATTACATGTATTTTTTCCCGCTGCCCCTGTTTCGAGACCAGGTGCGTGATAATGGTCCATTCTAAATCAAAACAAATTTCACATATATTATTTAGTATATGTAAAGACAAGATTAAATCAAGAATAGTCTGCGGGTGACAATATTAGCATATCACTTGTGAACAATGTTCACTCTAAACTGAGTAGCCCTGAGACTACAGCGCAGCTCCCAAATATCCGCCCACAGAGAGAAGCACAAGACTGAACTTCATTCAACTTTCTAGAGCAGTGGTCACCAACCGGTCGATTCCTAGTCGATCGCCAAACATTTCTGTAAAAAAACCTGAAGATAA